TTATTTAACACTTTTTGGGACTTTATTATTGATAAAATTGAGTAGATTTCTATTTATAATTGTGTAATTGTTACTTTCGTAGGCTAAAACCCCGGAAAGAAGTATAACGAGCGAAAAGAGAATGAAAAGGACTTAAATTGAACAAAATTGTGAAGCTAAGGACTTGAAGTGCAATTATGGAAGGGCATAAATGTAATAAAAGTCAAATTTTGAGGACCAAATTGCACTAAATGAAAGTTGAAGGACCTGATCTGCAATTTCGAGATTTTTTGGTCAACCTTTTTTTATTTTATCCTTATGTTATGCTAGATTTTTTTAAGATATTTATATTGTGTCTAATAATATCTTTTTTTTTATATTATATTTTATACATATTCCATATATATACTAATATAACTTGGTAGGTAAAAAAAATTTCCCAACTCTTTCACTTTTCTCTCTTTCTCTCTCGGTCTCTCTCTCTCTCTCTCTCTCTTTTTCTTGAAATTTTTTCTTTTAGTTTTATTTTCTTTTGTTAATTTTAGTTTTATTTTGGGAATCAAGTGGATATAGTAAGGAGATCATTAAGGAAAGCTTGAAAAAAATTACAATTCGTATTTAAAAGGGTTTTATCTCAACTTTTGTATTCCTTTCATTTAGTTCTTCATGTTTGTAATGATATGTTTATGAGAATCTCTCTGTTATTTTGTTAGAATGATGAACTAAACAAGTTTATGTTGAAATTTATGTATTCACTTAACCTATTTTCATTAATATCGTGTTATATGTTGTTAGATATGCATTTGTTATCAAAATATTGGTGTAATAATTATCATGTTTAAGATTACTACATTTATTTGACGTCAATAGATGTTATGGTTAGGTAGTTGTGTAATTATTGAAAAATAGTTGCACGTAATAGACCGAAATAATTAATATCATAGGTTTGTATGGTTTCAACTATACGCGTTTAGGTATCTAGACATGTATACCTACCCTATGTGACCCGTTGAGTTATTTTCACAAAAATTGAATGCAGTTGTTTGGTTTAGAACGCCATAGAAATATGTTAATGCCAAGCAATTAGGGTTGATATCGCTCGACAGAGGTTATTGACTAATTTTGGAAAATCGGGTCTAACCACATATTTTGGTAATTTGTATCGACGCATAATTGGCTTGAAAAGGGTTAAGCGAAATCATAAATTCCAACATCTTTTAAAATCAAACTTTTCCACTTTTTAAGTATTATTTAAGTATTTTAAATCAAAATCTAGTTTTCGCCTTTTTATAGTTTTTAAAATCGAACTTTTAAATGTGTGTATCTTTTTCGTTAATTTGAAACAAATACACTCGTAATTGAAAACAACACTATTTGAGGGATCGACTGGGACTTAAAATGTCTATTATACTACTTGATTGCGACCCGTGCATTTGCGGCGTGCCATTTAATACCGATCAATAAGTAATAGTATGGATGATTATGGACTTGTTCTATCTAGTTTTTCCGAACCAAAGGGAAGACTAGTTGGTCAATTCCTAAGGGGTACAACATTGGATCAACACCAATGCACCATCTCCATGGTGTCCACCTCTTCTTACGCCTTCAATTAATCAAACTGCAACATGTATCATATACTAGTTGACACGCATGCCTAAAAGAAATCGGACTCGCAGACCCATAAAAATAACAATAACAACGGACTCGCAGGTCCAATATAATAAAGAGCTCGCAGGCCCATAACAACAAAAAAAAATAAATCAACCATTCAACACATCAATATGATCGAGTCCATAATCATCCATAAATATTCATCACATAAGTGTTTCCTATGTATATAATATCTAATATTATATGCAATGTCTCATAAATCTAGCAATTATAGTCATCAAAACTAATTCAAAATTTTGGATCGAGATAATTAAATAACTAATTAATCATATTAATTAATTAACTTAATTGACGGGCCTATTTAATTAAAATCAAATTTTAACTAAATCCCGAATTAGAGTCCAACTCTAATTCCATAACCATTGGGCGAAGTAATTTAATCAAAATCGAATTTTAATTAATTATTAAATTAGAGTCAAACTCTAAATTTTAATTTGCATTGGGAGTGGTATTAATTGAAATCAAATTTTAATTAATATAATATTAGAGTCCAACTCTAATAAAATTGAATCAATATTTTAATTTAGGACAAAATTCCCAAATAAAATAAAATTCAATTAAGGGTCAAAATTAAAAGTTTAAGTTAAAACCTAATTTAACAAAAACATAAAAGTCGTCAAATTTTAAATAAATTTTAATTTTGGGTCAAAATTAGGGTATGGGTCAAACCCAATTAAAACATCATTTTAAAACCAATTCAAAATTCAATTCAAAACCATTTTTGACAATTTACAAATTTGACCCAAGTTGGAAATTAACACCAGACCCTTCCAAATTAAAAAATTGCAAAACAGGTCCCCTTTTTTTAAAATTTGCAAACTGACCCCATTTTGGTAATTGCAACCAGGGGCCCCTAATTACATTATTTGCAACAGAGGCCCCTGTTTCCACCAAAACCCTAAAAAATAAAAAAAATAAAAAATTTTACTATTGGTTGGCGCCGCCCTGCCCATAGCCGGCAGTTCCCCCGCCCACCAACAGCAGCGGCAGCGAGGCTGCTGCCGCCATCGCCCCGCTGCCTCGATCCAAAAAAAAATGAATTTTTTTTGTTTTTTCAAAATCAGATTCTGGAAAAAAAAATAAAACTAAAAACTATATTTGCTAGATTTAGGGATGAATATGATTAAATCAACCTTTAATTTAATTAACATGTAAATCAGTTCCTAACAAATACAAAATTGGCTCTGATACCACTGTTGGGAATTTATTTAAACATGCACAGCGGAATTAAACAATTTCAATTTTCATTCAGGATTTAGCTTTGTATTTAGATAAGAACTGTGATAAGTAATATACTTCTTCTTGATTTTGCAAACTTCTTCTCGTTATTCTTTTCCAACAATTTGAATCTGCCTCTCACACTTGTCCAATTGTTCAGCCTCTAATGAAATCCACACAGAGAATAGACTGCAACTGCTAAGGTTTTTCCTCTTGCACTAGCAAGAATAATAAAAACCTTATGGACCTTAAATTCTAGCCATGTATATATATGAATCCAAACGGGCTCGATCCGATTTGGTCCAATGTTTAATTAATCCAATTAATTAATTCAGGAATATAAATAGCAAATTCAATTAATTAATTTATCCAACGATTGTTAAATTAATCAATTGACAATTTGCAATCTTCCAATTCTCTTTTGTGTGCGACCCATTAGGTTCCGGACCACGATACCTAACGACGTGAAATATTATTTTGATCTAATCAAAACTGATAACTTAAACACCCTTTTAATTTATCATAAATTCACACTCGCCGTCCCAAATTGACATCTAGTAATGTATCAGAACAACACATGTGACAGGAAATGTCACGTGGTATGACAAAATCAAAACTGTTCGTTTACCATGAAATTATAATCCCTTCGTCAATATGATCCGATCAACTATGAGATATGGAAGTGTGTCAATCTCGATTATCGATCATATCTTTCATTTTACTATTAAGTCAATATGAGTCAAAAACTCGTTTTCGATTTATACGTATATCTTGGTCAAAGATTTCGTTATTAACTTAATTGAACGAAATGCAGATCACAATCTCTTGCTATCTAAGAGTGACGAATCATTTATTGGTCATTCACAACCTTCATATGGTTCTTGACATACCCGAACGATATCGTATTAGCGGCCCTTGGCAGAGCAATATCCAACACCGTCAAAGTATGATTGTCCTCATACAAGGCACTATGATGACCTCAAGTTATAGGACCAATTCCACTACTGAATGTTAGAGATTTACCACTGACACTCAGATAGTTATCCATGTGGGATCTCTTAGCAGGTTTCCAATGTTTTGTTCCATAACAAAACATCCACGTGTGCATTTAAGTGTCACTACACTTTAGCTCGTGAGATCAGCTACTTATTTCACAAGTAAGAAATGTCACACGTGATGATCTAACTGTATTAACGATATCCGTATCTCGTTATTACTTACGACCACGATTTATTCAAGATCTAATCATAAGTAATTTGTATCTCACAATCACAACTCCTTATAATTAACAAATCATTTAAACTTGGATCTTCAAATTCTATTAATATTATTTATCACAAAATTAATTTAAATAAATAATAAATCTTGCCAAAATTAAATGCATTAAACATATTAAAAGCATTTACAAGCTAAATCGATTGGATCTAGGATATAACACTTACAATATGAAGCCCAATGTAGGAAGGGAAATGGCTAACTTACTGAAAAATGAAAATCTTCTTCAATCCTACAGTAGATAGGCGCTAACAAGTTTGATTCAATAATTCATTTCACTTAGACGTTATGAACTTTAGTTTTATTGATTTTAGATATGAACTTTAGTTTCCTCAAAAGCTTTATAACTTTTGTTTGCAGTGGCAGCAAATTATATTACTCGTTGGTCTGGAGATTTCTTCAATAAATTGTCATTTTTATAGCTAGATGTGTGCTTAACAAGGATGCACCATTCAAAACAGTTCACTGGTAATATCCAAATAGTTGGCCACCAATACACTAAATCAATGAACGTCGTATCTAGAAGGGGCAAAACGAGCATTAAGGACGTGATTTACTGCGATTCAATGTACTTTCGAGTCATTCCAAAAGTTATTTAATTTTATTGGAGATCTAGTTAAAAAACTTTGTTTTCTGTCTAGAACACAAGTGTGTTGGGGAAAAAAATGCTCATGCTAGCATGGAATTCACTTCTTGCAGATTTAAAGCACTACCTACTACATCGGCTACTGGTCATGCCTTACCAAGTGCAAAAGGCTTCAAGAAAGGAGGATCCATAAGTAGAGCCATGTGCACATAAAAATTATCCATAATCCAAATGAAGATTAAGCAGCTAAGGAAAGCTAATGAGAAAGACCTATATAAAATGAGAGATGTCCCATCGATCATTGATAAGATAATTTACATAAAGTTTATATGTTTACACGAAAATCACCGTTTTTAAAGGATCACTTTTTGCTTAAGTCTTATTTTTTTAGAACATGCTACAACCATCTTTGCACAACATCAATCTATACCACAATCTTAGATAAACTAAACTTGAGCAAGACAGGTTCAAGACTACTCGTTCCATTGAGCAACTCCACTCTTCATTCAATAACACTTAAGCAACCGTAGGGTAGGAGGCACAAGTTGCAACACCTGCAACCAAAGTTATTTGTATCAATTTACTGAGAAAGATAAAATGATGCTGATAAATTTCATGTAAATTGTTTTCCCAAACATCTATTTATATAATCCAGTGTCACATTTAGAGTGGAACCAAGGGACTCTGCACGTCAACAAATGCAAATTTTATGCAGCAAAGAACTTACCACACATGTTCTTCCCCATCTCCATTTTAAAGTAGCCATGGTCACCCCAGTCAGCTCCCCATGAGTTCTTAATGAGCCAGTACGGGACACCATTTTCAACTCCATAACCAACAGCAAGAACAGCATGGTTCACGTCCTGCAAATATATGTGTACCATACAGTGATGAGAGTTTATACACCATATCCTATCAAATTTCAAGACAAGTATATCATGTATAACTGTGTGTATGCTGCAGGCTAATGATTTGATAAGTATGTTTTACCTGAATACTAAAGTATAACAAGAAGCTGATATGCGAATATATCAACAAGAAGATCAGGACCTGATATGAATATTTGCAAACGAAAACTCTCTCTCTCTCTCTCTCTCTATATATATATATATATATATACACTGATATACACACACACACACACACACACACATAAAAGTTTTATTTTCTCAGTACTAGTCATTTTCCGTTGAAATCAAGTATGCATAAGAGAATCAAGCCTCATGAAAAGTCGGGTCACCAAGGCAGTACACTATGGATGTTGGTAAACTAAGATTCTGCAACATAACTAGCCATCAAAAACTCCTATTTTGACAGTTTTCCAACTAAATTTGCAACCAAATTTCTAATGTTTCTAAGAGAGTAAAGTACTCACCATTGGACTATTGCCACATTTGGTGCTGGTGTAAACTCCCCCTTTATAAAATCGAAAACCAGTTACAACCTCAAAAGCCACACTTACTGGCCGAACAGTTCCTACTGCATGCTTTAATTCATATTCAGCGCCCTGTGATTTACCAACATGTTAGAACACACCAAATTATGACGTCGCCTTGTGCTAATATGATCCAAAAGTATATAAATTATATGCCAGCATGATTTTCTAGAAAATATTTTTCTAAAAATGTGAAATTTCATTGCAAACAAGTATATAAACTGCTAAACTGTGTTCAGTTTCTCAGATTAAAAATAAAAAAAGCAGTACGTTAGCAAGTTAGTGTTCGACAAACTTTGGAAGCCATGACGAACAACGTGCTTCCATTTAGACGTAACTATGTAGCCATGCAGCCAACTGATATCTTACTACTAATGTAGGCAAGATGGTTGAGACTCAAAGGTGGATTTAGGGGCCGCACTAATTGGATTCGCTGGAGAGAAATTTTTTTTTGCTGATAATAGATATAATTTTTAGATTATATATTTGATAATTCATATTAACAATAAACATCTATGTTAGCTTAGCTGGTTAGCGCACAAATAATTTCAGTTTTGTTATTATAATAATGCTTGTTTAATTAACTTTAATTATAAACTTAATATTGACATTTTGTTAATATATATTGTCTATTTAATTGAAAAATAAATTAAGACATTTTGCAGATTATGGAACGATTTTTATATCCAAAATAAAAGTTCGTATCTAGTACTAGTAATAGTAGTGTATCTAGTTCTTTTGGTTCTAATTCGTACGATTTTTTGAATATTATTTAATTAAATATTAATAAACAACCCTGCTATCACGAACGTTGGCCATCGATTATGAGCTTTCAATGCTCGTAGTCCGCCCTTGCTGAACTCAATCCTTGAATTCGCCACTGTTGAGACTCTTAAGAAAGTTGAACAAGTAACTTACCAGGGTGATATTGACAGAGTCAAGAACTTGGATGGCGCTATTTTCAGATGAGTATTTGCACGCACCGTCCTTTCCAGTATATGGATATGAAGCCTCAGTTTCAAGTCCACCATTATATTTAATGTACTCAAAGGCTTGAGATGGAAGACCACCATTGCAGCCAAAGTTGTTGAATGCACCAGCACAGTCCACAAGCTGCTGTTCAGACAGAGATATACCCTTTCCAAATGCCTGAGTATAAGCTGCCTCAAGGGCTCCAGTAGTGCTGCAAACTCACACATTTCAGGTGATATTGTGTTGCTTCTCATATGTATTCAAACAACATTTATTACTATGAACTCCAATCTCCACAATCTGACATATTCAATTTTACCTGAAAGTCCAGCAGGATCCACAATGACCTTGATTTTTAACCGGGCTCACTATTCCAGCTTTCCTCCAGTCTTTCTGCAATACACCACAACAAGGTCCACTATTATTGTAATCTAGCAGCATGCCATAAGTCTAAATGTTCATAAAGCTTCATGTGATATTATACAATCAATCATGTCTGATCTAACAAAGATTGGTACATCTCATGGTCTAATATCCTGTCTACAAGTATCACAAAGCATAAAAGGAAACTTTTCTCAGTCATTCAAAATGACTCCAGTTGAGAAAATTACTGACTTATAGTTAAGTTATTATAAAAAGTTTCAATTCATGTACAGAGATTACAAAGAGAGAACAACATAATTGTAACTAAAACGAGAGGTGAAGATGAGGAAATTAAATAAACCTTATCAATTATGTTTTGTTTCATGATAAAAAAATTATCAACAGAATATCAAGTGCTTGTTTGATAAATTTTTAGTATAATTTTATCAGCTTTCCAACCGGTCAAACTTCAAATTTAATCATGGATTCCAGGGGATTCACAACTTCTATCGTAATCTGCTAAAACTTTTTATCAAAAGTTTGGTCAAACAACCTCCAAAATCACTAACAAATACAGAGAGACTGCAAGTACCGTTTCCGGAAGAAGAACGTCAGTGAGCTTGTGATTGCCTCTCGTGGTAGCAGAGCAGTTTTGAGCAGCTCCTAACTTGTGCCTACTGAACTCATCCCATGTCAAATCAGCAAACTCTGTTCATCAGTGTAGCAGTTGTCAACAATGATGTTTAATGAAGATTTCAAGACTCCTTAGCGGCATCTTATTGTCTTTCATTAATTGAAAAAATAAGTGCTCTTATTAAACTAATAGGAAAAGCAAATTCGTGATTGTAGATTCAGTTCATAGAAGTATGGATGCACAAGTAATCAACTTAGGAGTAACATAATCGACTTAGTAGTAACATGTGAGCCAAAAGGAACAACTGTACACACACTGAAGTAAGAAAGAATAAACTCATTTTCCAGATTGCAACCGAAAAACAGATTTTAGAATATCTAGTTCCTTCACAAACGTTTCATATTTCTTTTATAACATGCAATACTGACTATCCGTTCTTAGTACAAGTTGGAATTCTTAAATTCAAAAGTTAAAGTGAAGTTATTCACTTAACTACTAAGTTAAGCAATTTAAAATACACTCAATTAAACACGTACAGTTTACACACTAACCAACTTCCCACTTTCATTAAATTAATTGCAGATTCAGTAACTTCTCAAATAATTGAGTAGAAAAGATATAATTATAGCCCACTCATTAAGGATATAATATCAACACTGAAGCTGGACAGAAATTTACATGTTAATTTTATAAAAGGCCAACGAATCAAAAGTCAACTAAGAAATAGGCAACTAGCTCAATTAAACACATACAGCTGCACACTCACCAACTTCCTATTTTTGTTAAATTAATTGCAGATTCAGCAACTTCTCAAATAATTGAGTAGGAAAGATATAATTATAGACCACTTGCTAAGGTTATACATATCAATACTGAAGCGAGACAGAAATTTACATGTTAATGTTCTAAAAGGCCAAAAAATCAAAAGTCAACTAGAAAAAGGCAACTAGCTCAAGTGACTACTGATATATAATCAAAAACACATATGTTCATGAACGAAGATGCATACAAAGATTAATCCAAAGGAAAAAAGAAATTACCATTGATACCAAGAGTATAAGAAAGTCCCTTCTTGTTGTGCGATCTGATCATCTTCAAATTCTCAGAAAATATTTCATACCTCCTCTTCATCTCTTCAGCACTCTTGTACCTCTTCCCAAACCTTTAATAAAAATCTTAAAATTTTAAAAACCCACAAAAAACTGTTTAAAGGCATAATCCAATTGAATATATGTGCTTCGAGGGAAAATTCTCGAGTTGAATCTTCAAGGCCATCCATTTAACGAAATTATGCAAAATAGTAAAGTGAGTCTATCCGATTAACAGAATCTCTCGAAAATCCCATTTGTATGAAAAAATAAAATAAAAGTAGAACTAACTTACAGATGAGCAAAGCGAGCAAAGGTGCGGGCACGGTAGCAGTCACCAGCGATTTGGATGATAGAACTCTCTAGCTCTTGCAGGCCATCAACCACTTGCCTGATCGGGTTTTTCTCGGCGAAGGTGTCCGTTAAAGTCGTTGCAGTCGCGACACAGGCAATCGAAAGCCCGACGATCAACAAAACAACCCGATCCATCTTCTTTCCGCTCGTTTAGGGTCTGGAGTGCTGGAGCATGCATTATATCTTATCAAGTGTGGGGTCCAGAAGGGAATCTCCCCCGTTGGATGCATCAGTGGGGGGCCCAGTAGATTGGTCGTGGAGGGCCATGATTGGTTGAGTGTTTATGGTGAAGAAAAAATCAAGGAATCTTTAGACGAGAAAATGGAAGTAAGAGATGAAGAAATAAAAAAAAAAAAAATTTAACAATCCAAATCATAATTCAACAAAATTACATCAACAAATCATGTCCAAAATTTTAGAAACCTTAACATAAACTCTAATTTTCCTAACATTTGACCATTTTCTGCCACTACAAAATGAATCGTCAATCACATTTGCCTGCTAATCTACTAATTTTTTTCGGTAAGTTTCAGATTCTTATTCAAGCCATTTTTTCATTGTTTTTTTTTTTTTAACTTATTATACACTTGTGAGTTGTGGTTTGGATAAAAAAGATGATTGTTTGCGTGTCTAGATGATAATGAACTTTTTTTTATTTGAAAAGAATGAATGACGGAGCACACTAATTGTATGAAAATGTTAAAATTCCCTAATTAGTACTACTATATTATACTTTCATGAAGTAGTTAAAGGATGAAATTCGTCAATTCCCAATAAGTTGAAATTCTATCAATCTTTTTACATCTAAATATATCATATTCAATTCTTATTTAACATTTTACTAGCAAAACGAAAGGAGTTTTAACCAAACTATAATAACAGAATATAACTCTACTTTTACCAACCGCTATATGATAATATAAATGTCAAACAAGAAAAGGTAAATAAAAATGAAGAAATATGTATTTGTTCTATTAACATCTTTTAGCAACCAATTTTGAAAATAGTTTATTTATGGGTTTCATGGTAAATATGAATGTAGTTTAACATTTAACATTATTAGTTTTCGTTTAAACTTATATTTAACTCATGTTAAATACATTACTATAATGTCGAAAGGTAAACTGTGGATTAAAATCGAATCAAACCGCAAACTATGGTTTGGTTTGAAAAAATATCAAACAGCATAAAATGATTTGAGTTAAAAATATAGCACAAACTGCTCAAATCGAACCATATTCACCCCTAATTTTGGAGGGACCGTGGAATTAAAATATCTTCATTTTCATCTCATATATTATTTTTAAAGTATATTCAAATTTAAAAACAAAAAAGTTTTTAAAAAATATTAAAAAAAAAAAGTGCCACAACACCAGTAGCCAGTAGGACATGTAATATGTAACTCTATTTTGAATAAATAATAATTTTTTTTTTCAGTTTTATGGTTTTAATATATATATATATATCGTTTTAATTGTATAAATAAATAAGTATTAAATCACTATTTTTTATATTTTTTTATAAATATTAAAATATCTTTCATAGTGAAAAAAAAAAAAGTGCCACAACACCAGTAGCCAGTAGGACATGTAATATGTAACTCTATTTTGAATAAATAATAATTTTTTTTTTCAGTTTTATGGTTTTAATATATATATATATATATCGTTTTAATTGTATAAATAAATAAGTATTAAATCACTATTTTTTATATTTTTTTTATAAATATTAAAATATCAATTTCATAGTGCAAAAATATTTCGTCCATAACATGATTCATGTTTCGTTGCTTCTTCTACAAAAGAAGTCCACCTTTTTACTTTTTTTAAGATCACTTGAATTATGTTGAAAAATATTACTGAAACATGTAATTCACACACGAAGAACTCATAGACAATCCTCTCCTCACAAGCTCACATGACCTAACACCTTTATTGTCATACAGGGATGATACAAAAACTCATTAAATATAATACTCGTGAAATCACTTCCCGAATGAGAAAAGGAATCCTCGCCTAATTGAATACATTGATAGTAGTGGAACATGATTGTTTGCCCAAAAAAGGTGGTATCAAAGAACATGGTCCATGTCCCCCATTACTTGTCCCACTTAAAGTTCATTTCAAAATATAAGGATGTGCTTGGTTTTCAATTTTGTAAAAGACCCAGAACATATTTAGTCCAGTATTATGAAAATGTATTTTCGAAAACAAGGTTAAACTTATAACATAAAATTCAAAATATATTTTCGACGTTTTGAATGTTTTAAGTGAAAATTCTATAAACATTCAAAACATGGAAAAACAAACGTTTAAATGAAATTTTAAAAATTCAAACTTTAAAATTTTAAAAAATATAAATATAAATTTTTAACAAATATATTTTAAAATTTTGAAAAAAAAAATTATATTAAAAAATGAATATAATTCTGAAAAAAAATCCAAAAATAAATAAAAATCTAAAAATTTATAGTAAAAATTGTGAAACATAAAAAATAAAAATAGTTCAATCTTTTAATGATTATTTACACAAAAAATCTAAAAATATATATATTTAAATGAACGCTGATAAAAATATTCTCAATCCACGACATTATTTTTTATTTTTATTTCTTGTATTCTGAGTTGAATTATTATTTTTAGCCAAAAAAAGTTGTAAAATTCACCAACTTTAACAAAAAATATTATAAAATTCACCAACTTTAAAATGTGTATGTTACTTGAAAATATACTATAATTATTCTAATTTTACTTAATAATCAAATTTCATGGAATAAAATGTCATAAAGTAATATTTCGAAATGTCAAATTAAATGTATTATCTAATTTGCCATTTTGAGAAATAATTTTTTTTCAAAATGACAAATCAAATTCGTTTTTAGTAATCTTAAAACAGACACTCAAAATAGAAAATTAAAAATGAACTTAAAATTCAAAACTCGAAATGAAACACAATCAAACTGACTCTAAGTATTTTTTATCACATAAAAATAAAATAATCGATAACCTTTCTAAAGGAAACATGAGTTGCTCTACAAATTGAATATATGTATATAATTAATTTCACCAATTGAAGATGGGAACCTTATGAGGGGCCAGCCCTTGAATATTATGATACGTAAGGAGGTGAATTAAGAGATAAGATATCTAACAAGACGGAAGGCGGAAATGATTGTCACGAATTGTATTTTATGATACGTAATCACGATAGCAACTTCTTGATGTTAAAGTTTTCAAATAACACAAATTGTATTTTATGATAGACTGAGTCCGTTTGATTGTCCATGAGATCGTTAACTGACATTGCAATAATTCATATAATATGGACAAAGCAGTGCATAATGTCAACGAGTGGGTCCAGTAGCCTCACATATTCTGTCCAACTTGTTAATTCATGAAGTAATTGGTATCTCCAAGTAGAGATATTTCATGATTCTATCACAATCAAAATTTTTTTTTAATTTTAATGGTGAAAAGAAGAAGAAGAAGAAGAAGAAGAAGAAGATAATATGCATGTGGTTTCATTTAGATATAAAAATTTTGCATAAAATTACACAAAACGTGAAAGGGACAAATTGACTTTTTATCAATTTTTATTTGCACCATCGAGAACCATTGGTCTGTCAATGCTACCTTCAGAAATAGAAATCTGTGTGTGTATATATATATTTTAAGACTATTTAGTTGATATGGTAAATTAAGAATTTCTTTTAAAAAAAGGCAAAACAAAACAAGAACAGAAAAAACAAAAAACCATGAAGGTGGTTCTATTCTAACTACATTTTTTAGGGAAAATTGCAGCAACGGTCCCTGATCTTTTCATTTTTTTGCAGACTTTACCCTAACATTTATTTTATGTCAGTGAATGTTCCTAATCTTTCATAAATATGCAATTGAGGTCCATCTGAATGAAAATCGTCCAAAATACCGTCAGTTGACTGAAAAAATTAAGGAATCAACATCTAATAAAACCGTCCAAAAAGATATTAATATTTAAAAAAAATCGTTGAGATAGCAGATAGTTTAAGGAATTTTCTCGATCAACTGACGGTATTTTGGACGATTTCTATCTAGATGGATCTCAAGTATATATTTATGAAAGGTTAGAAACATCCGCTAGCACAAAAATAAAGATTAGGGTAAGGTCTACAAAAAATGAAAAAGTTAGGAATCGCTACCGCAATTTCCCTTGTTTTTAGTTTACACTAAGCCAGATAAAATATTTCTAATTCAAAAGATGTTATTTTCATATAATTCATCATTTGTTTTTTCAAAGTTGTACCATATGCCTTGTTGCGGTGTTTTTAAAAAAAACCCCGATCAAACCATCCACTTTTCACTTTATCTTTTCAACAATTGAATATTTTTACAATGCCTTCTTGAATGTTAAAGTAGAAAGATGTCTTTAAGTATGTTAAATAATTACAAAATATTGATTTGTTTAAAATACATTACTACCTTTCTAGTTAACAAGTGAAAATCAAGCACTTTAAAACTTCAAAATCAGAAATCAAACATTTTAAAACTTCTATCACAGATAAAATTTCTCTCATTTCTCATCTATTTCAACCTCGAAATCTCAGAAATTTTTCGAACGCTGAACAAGGAAATATTTTTTTATATCAATCACTTCGAATCGGTAAGTATATTTACTATGTTTAATTTCATTTTCGTTAGATTAGTATATGTTTTAATCGATAAATCTTATCTCGACATAGATTAACATGTAGATAAATTTTTTTAACAAATTTATAATTTTTTTGAGCATAAACAAGAAAAAATTTATCTGCATAATCGGCCGGCTGTAACAGGCGGTAACAGCCAACGATAACCAACGTAATAGCGGGTTGCAAAACATTTTTTTAATATTTGAGTCGAATTTTTGACTATTTTTTCTTATAATTAAAAATTATGCTTTTTCATGCAGATATGGTTATAATCTGATTGTTTGTTCCCCCGGATGGCCTTGCCTCGACAGGAGCATTTTCAAATGTTAGCACTGGCACTGCATTTAGAGTGGCTGAGGCCAATACCTATCCGGATGTGGGGGCTATTGTGTGATCGACCTGGGTCCATTGCTGGGAGACGAGGTGTGCGGCTGGTCGTTGACCCATCTGCCTCTGAGGTCGGGGAAGTCCCTGAGCCGCATGGTTCCGGTGGTCAATCATCTCCT